TGCAGATTATTAATCCAGTGACAGTTGAGCTACAGATGCCAAAGAGTTCTAGGCGGGTCCATCCAGTGTTTCATTGTAGCCTATTAAAGCCCTTCTGAGACTCTACACCAAGGCCAGTTGGGGGACCCTTTCCGGTCCTCATAAAAGGGGAGGAGCACTATAAAATTAAAGATATCCTGGACTCCAGGCACCACCAAGGAAAGTTACAGTATCTTGTGTAGTGAAAAGGCTACCCCACAGTGGATGCAGTATGGGTGGTAACCAAAGCAGCGAAGCTAATAAAGAGATTTCATTCCAGATACCCGAAATGACCGAAGTGAGACTAAGGTTTTGTACAATGGATAATTGCTCATGCTTGTGTATGTTTATATGTATTTCAGATGTATCTTTCTTTTGGAGGGGGGGTTAGCCATGTCAACAGTGATTCTCTCTTTCACCTAGTTACTTCTTTGCTTTCAGCTTCACAACAATTGGGAGGGTGGTGGTTAGAATGTTGGGGTGGGAATGGAATGCCAAGTTTCCATCTGCTGCCACCCCCAAGGTCACACTGTGAAGATGTTTGAATGATCCAGGCTATTCTCATAACAAAAGAAGTGGATATAATTGGACAATTGTCAGGGTTCCCCAACCCCAACGAGGTGCAGGGCAAGATGTCCTTGACTTTCTGAGAAAGGAATGTTATTATGACTATATATCACCCTGGCTCCATACAATCTCCCCTCCCAGTTTCCCACAATAGGAAATGTGGCAGGCCTGAAGATCCAATGAAAAAGATGGCTTCCAGGCCTGACAACAATGCAATGAACTGAGGGGGATGGCCAAAGGGAAAACACTAATATTAAAACCATTTCCCCATTTTTCTTTTCCCAATTTATATACCAACAATTTCCCTAGTTATTTGCAAATTCATTTTTTGTATTGCATAATTTTTTGTATTGCATAATTCATTTATACCTCCATTTGTTTTACTGTTAACAAAGACAATTGCTGTTATAAAAGGTTAATTTGTTGTGAAATAATTTTCTTTTTGGGGAATTTTTAAAAAATAATTCTTTCATTTTTATCGAATCTAAAAATTTCTTGTTATCTGTTTTTTTTAGTTTCATATTATGCTGTATGAAATGTCCCCTCATAAAAAACTATAATTACACCCCAAACCATTCTTATATCTGTAGCTTTATTAAGATTCTTGTCAAAGAATTTGTTTAATTTTGTTTTACAGTTTTCCATTACTGTTTCCTTTTTCTACAAAGTTTCATTTATCCTCCATCTGAAGGAATTTATTTTCCTTTTAAGTATTAAAAAAACAGCACCTGCCCTCAAATGAAGACATGTTCTGGAACAAAGTCATTATATTGCAATGATAATTATACAACTACACGAAACACATTCACTTATAGAAATTGTTTCAAATTCTCAGAGACATCCAGGCATATGAAAGGAATACAATTATTTAAACAATAGGAAATCATTATCAAATGAAAAAGGAACTATTTGCCACATGTTGCTCTAAAGTTTAAGAGTTCAGAACAGTGGTGGGATTCTGCTGGTTTTTAGGCGGTTCGGCCGAACCGTTTGTTAAATTGCTGACTCACCCCACCCCTTGCCTCGCCCCTCCGCACCACTATTTATTGCCAATAAATAGTGGTGGGCGAGGGGCGGGCGAGCCAGCAATTTAACAAACGGTTCGGTGTTTTTTTGTAATTTTATTGTCCCGTGGAGCTTCAGCATAGGCTAATTAGCCCGTTAATTAGATCGGCCTCCCGACTCTCAGCTGATTTGCTCTCAGCTGTTTTGCTCAGGGCTCTGCTGCTTGCTTGCTTGCTGGAGCAGATTTTTTTTCCCCTAGCTATGCTGAAAAATGAAACTGAAAGTAAAGCAGGCTGTTGGCTTTGCTGTTGCTGCAACGTTGAAAAATTAAGCAGGCAGATTTCATTTCTTTTTCCTCACCAAAAAAGGTAGGTGCAACTACCTTTAGTGAAAAGGTAGTTTTCCCTAAAGAGGTAGTTCCTCTTTAGGGAAAAAGAGGAGAGTTCAAGATTTTAAAACACAAAAGAAAAAAAGCTCTATTTAACTAGGGAATTGTAATAATTGAGATACTATTAATTGTATATTGTGTTGAAAGCAGAAATGGTTAAGTTGTGGTTTGGAGGAATATATGGGGGAAATTATTTGGTTTATTATTATTGGTAAATATAATTAATTGATTTGTAAGAAATTGGATTGCATGGAAATAATTGGAATATTCATGTTCATATTGATTAATATACAAAAAAGATAGTTATATAACTAATTGATTTATATTAAAATGTTGAATTTATATTAAACAACTGTAATATTACATAATTAACCAATGTGAGGATGGATATAAAAATAGATGACAATGAGAAGGGGTATAATATAGAATAGAAGGGAAAAATTGAATTTGATTAAGATTAGAGATGAGGATGAAGGGTAATATTGGTTTTTTTAAAAAATAGATAAGGAATAAATATGGCAAAAAGGTAATATAGAAATTGTAAATTTAATTGAAATGACTAAACACTGTTTAAATTTGTGAACCGGCCAAATACTCTGTTCAAAGAAAATACATTGTATGTTTGTATGTGTCCTCACATTTTATGTTTTTCGCCCTATCTTGTCACCATGGTGAAGAGAAGCAGTTGTGAAATGAGTGACACGGTTGTTAAGAATGCTACAATGGGCATAAATGATGACCAGTCATAAGTGCAAAGACCGGTCAAAAGTGCGAAGTCCTGTCAGAAATCACTTTTTTCAGCCCTCTGGGTAGTCCTTTTGTGCATATGGACTACTCAGAGGGCTGAAAAAGTTATTTTTGACTGGTCCTCGCACTTTTGACCACTCCTTGAACTTACGACTGTCCTCACATTTTACGTTTTGCGCCCTATCTTGTCACCGTGGTGAAGACAAGTAGTGATGAAATGACTGACACGGTTGTTAAGAATGCCGCAACGGGCATAAATGTGAGGAAGGTCATAAGTGTGAGGACTGGTCATAAGTGCGAGGACCAGTCAGAAATGACTTTTTTCAGCCCTCTGAGTAGTCCCTATGCACATAGCCACGCCCATCCAGTCACATGACCAGCTAGCCATGACCACCCAGTCACATGACCACCAAGCCACACCCCCAACTAAGCCACGCCCACAGAACCGGTTGTTAAAAAAATTGAATCCCACCACTGGTTCAGAAATATACAAATGAGGCATTCTGCCTGAACAGGACTGTAGAGAAATTTATCTGAATCTTTCTCTTTTAAAAATGTATTCCTCTCAAAACATCTTTTCTCAGAACCTTTTATCCATGATGTTTGAGACAGGCAGACAGCTTTCCATCAGTATGATTTGCTTGTCATCTAATTTTAGTAGTCTTGTTTTTCTAGTCCTCTTCCATGTAAAAGAATGGATGAGAATACCACCTGAGCCTCTTTGAGCTTTCTTCTTACAGCTTCAATAGTCATGGATTACTACATGGATTAATAGGAAGGTATAATTGTCAATGGATTTACAAGTTATTTTATTATTTTGATAACTGATCTTCAGTTTAGGCAAAGAGTACCTTCCATAAACCAGTCAGGGACTCTGGTTGGTATTTACTTTTCAGTTCTTTGGAACAGTAAATCACAATTACTACAACCTTTTGTTTTCTTGTGAGGTGCAGTATATCTCTTCTGCTCTTCAGTAAACCAAACTTGTCTCCTGTTCCTCAGGGTCTTTTTTTTTCTTTTTCTTTTTTGTCTGAAGGCTTGAAGCCAGTTTTTTCTGCAAGAGTCTGTTTTTTAGTTCCAGTGGTACAGAGTACATTCTGCATCTCTCGCTTTTGTGACAGACTATTGTCCATTGAATGTGCTCCTTTGTTTGATTCTTAATTATGGAGAGTTCCTTTGTCTTCCAATTCCTGTTATAGCACCAGCTTTTTCTGATATATAAATATCTACCTCATTGCCATTCACTATTCCAATTCTTTAATGTTTTCTTCAAGGACTTGCTTCCAGTTCATGCCAGGTTGTTTTCAGGCAGGAACTCTATAAGCACAGAAAATTATGACTGTCCAGTCCAATTTATTTATTGATCTCCATCTTCAATTGTTAAGATTCTGCCTTTTATGCTTTTTATTTTATGCTTCTTCTTTTCTCAGGTTCTTAGGTTAGCTAATTACCGCAGTCCATTTAGAGAGAAAATTTGTTAAGAATATTCCTACTGAACTCTCCTGACTGATTCTAATTTTTTGATTAAAAAATGTCAAATGGTGATTTCATTGCAAAACATCCAAGTTAGAATTCATAGAGAGATGCATTTACATGCAACAATTTATACATACAACGACAAAAGTATATATGTAAGGCGAATGGGAAGTATTTATTTCTGAGCCTTTTACTTTCATACTTGAAATCTGTTGATGTATGAGTAGGATTCATTTTGTCCATGGCTCTCCTTTTCTGTCAGCAATTAAAGTACATTTCATTAAGAAAAGTATAACAATAGCTGATGGAGTTGGCTGAAATGGCAAAAATGACTACTTCAATTAAAGATAAGTACTTTTGTTTCCACATGGAGACTGCTTCTGAACTTCATAGTTGATGTGGAAAAGAATGAAACTCTGACTTTGGGTTTTACCTATTAGACTGATAGATTTTTATAGACATGCAAAAAATTGTGATTTGATGTTAATGCCTTATTTTACTGTAATAGAGAGTCAGAAGTCAAGGTTTCTGTTTCTTTTTTTCTTTCCTCTCTTCTCCTTTCCTTTCCACCCCCCTTTTCTATTTACTTTGTATTTTGTATTTTATGAAACTTTATAATTCAATAAAAATGTTGACTATGAAGAAAAGTATAATAATAACCTTTATCCAGCAAATTTCCTTTCTGGAGATGAACCAGCATATTCAAGCTATCACTATCATATTACCTTCATAATCAATTATGCCTATCTTATTAATAGAGCATGACTAATGATATATATTCCTTTTTTTCATTACTTACCTGAGCTTTCAGAATGCTGGTGACCCAGTCCCATAACTCCGATTGCCCTGTGCATGTTAAATACCTACAGAATAAACACTTGACAATTACTGTCAATTCTGGTGATCTTTGTCTCATTAACTTCTCTAATTCAACAAATAGCATAGGATTCACCAGAGCAGCTACAAAAAAGTCTGAGTTTTTCCAGAGAAAGAACTCACTAATGGAACATGAGAAGTGCCCAGAATTTTCTAAAAGCAGCCAAGAAAATAACTATTGTTATTGCTGATCTTTATGAACTCATGAATAGTATTCCATTTTTCCCCCTGAACTTGTAGTTATAACTTTCTTTTATTAAAGATTAAAGGAAATTTACCCTTCAAAGCTGTCAAACTTCTTGATTCAAAGGTTTCTAATAGGTTAAAACTAGTTAACGAGCTATTTTCTTAAGTGATTAGAAGGAAGTTATGTGAACTTAGTGTCCTTTCAAAGCTGCAACTGTTGTTTGAACAAGATGGCTATTTCCTTGTCTCTAAATCCACTAAAGCCTGCTATTTTGCAGTCTGGAGCACTTGTATAATGGTATGTAAGAAAGATGCTGCTTACAGAATGGTCAGATAAGAGACAGCATAGCTCACAATTGGATAGTGGGTGGGGCAGGAAGCTCAGAAGGGACCCTTCCTAATTTCTCAGCTGTAAAGATGACGGCAAGAAATTGTAGTTTCAGACTTGCAAAATTCTATTCATGTAGCTTTACAATAAATTAGAATTAGCTTATTTGGTTGTATTTCTTGTCTGGTCTACCTGGTAAGGCTGAAATCAATTTTGCATATTTCCTTTATAGCTTTAAAAACTAGGGAGGGTTCCTTCTGAGCCTTTGCCCTGCCCATCATCCAGCTGCAGGCTATGCTGTCCCTTATCTGACTGTGACCTAGGCAGCATCTCTTTGCCCCCTCTCCCAGGGTCCTTCCCACATACCATTACAACTTGTGGGAAATTAAAACTTTGATTTTAGAAAATTATGGACAGACTAAGGGGCCAGATAAATTTGAAATAAGATTGTGGAATTAATTATTAATTATTAAGAATCCTTCCTGTGGAAACATGTTTTTGTTTTGAATAAAAAAAAACCCATAAAATAAGATTTTAAAAATTGGACACTAGAGGGAACTAGAGGGTATTAAAGATTACAATTAATGGAACACATGCAGTTGACGTACAATTACAGCAAACAAAATATTCTAATGGACATATTGAAAGATATTTTTGAACAATGGATTCAGATGATATTTGCCTCTATGGAGAGACTGTGTCTAAAAGATGTTATGGAAGATCTAGCAAGATCTAGAATTGAATGTAGATTTATAAATGACAGGCTACAAGAATGATATGGGAAAAGATGTTACATTGGACATACAAAAGTCATCAGCTGATGATTTAATAATTAAAAGGGATATAGAAACAATAAACCAAGGATCACAACTTGGGTAATTTTTCTATTTTAAAGGATCTTTTGAGAAGGGACAAAGAAAAATGAAAAATAAAATCAAATTGTACAAAAGTATTTGAACAAATTTAAGATTAAGATTGTTAGAAATAGAAATAAGGAATATAAATCTGGTTTATTTGACCAAGGTTAAAATAAATATGTCATTATCTCTGGTAATTTTTAGAATAAAATAGAATTCAAACAACAATTGATAAATCATAAGAAACCAATAGGAGATGATAGCAGGCAAGATGAGAAGATGAGAAAAGATGAGAAATGAGACAGTGCTGTGGCGAATTAACTGTTCTGCAGAGTGATGGCACAGGGGAAAAACTATCTTTGTGTCTAGTTGTTTTGGCATGTAATTCTCTATAGTAGAAGTTGAAATACATCATGTCCAGGATATGAGAGGTCTGTAGTTATTTTCTCAGTCCTCTTTCTGGTTCGTGCAGTATATAGATCCTAAATGGAAGGCAGGCTGGTTGCAATTGTTTTTTTCTGCAGTCCTAACTTTCTGTTAAAATCTGTGTCTGTCCTGTTTCGTTGCTGTGCCAAACCAGACAGTTATTGAGATACAAATGACAGACTCAATAATTCCTCTGTAGAACTGTATCAGCAGATCCTTGGGCAATCTGAGCTTTCTGAGTTGATGCAGGAAGAACATTCTTTGTTGCACCTTTTTAGTTATGATTCTAATATCAAGTCTCTATTTCAAGTCCTTGGAGATAATGGAATGTAGAAACTTGAAGGTCTCTACTGTTGATACTGTGTTGCCTACCATGTTTCCCTGAAAATAAGACCACGTCTTATATTTTTTTGAACCCTGAAATAAGCACTTGGCCTTATTGCCATGTGCTCAAAAGCCCGATTGGGCATATTATCAGGGGATGTCTTATTTTGGGGGAAACAGGGTAATATTGTAAGAGAAGGTAGAATAGGAGAGCTTCTTCTAAAATCTACTATCATCTCTAAAGTTTTAAGTGTTCAGCTCCAGGCTGTTCTACTGTTTTACTGAAAATAAGACCCAGTCTTATATTTTTTCAGGCTCCAAAATAAGTGCTAGGCCTTATTTTTGGGGTAAGTCTTATTTTTTTTGATGTACAGGAAGTGCTGAGTGTGGGGGTTGTCACGAATGGGAGCACTGCTACTGTCAGGCCAGCCCCCTCTGTCCTACCATCTGCTTGCCCATGGCCACAATGGACCAAGCTCTCAGCGCATCCCAGCTTCTGCCCTGCCCTGCCAGCTGGCCCTGCTGCTGCTGGAACACTGGAGCTTGGGTCTTGCTCAGGCTGCTGCTACGACAAGGCAGTAGGCCGTGCAGCACAAAAGGATCGACTGCCCCTTCCCCTTGCCTCTGCCTGCTGCCGGTGCTGCCATGTGTTGGAATCACTTGCTTCCATTAATTCAGGTGTCAATCCATCCCACTGTCTCTTGGCTTGCCTGAAGCCACGAAAGGGCACAAGGCCACATGGCACATCAGGATTGCCTCCCCCATGCATCTGCCCAGCTGCTGGGCATGCTGCACTTGCTGCAGCTGGCCTCACTGGGGCTCTTCACTCTCCTAGCCATGCTGCTCTCAGCTGCCTTGCTGGGCTGCTCCTGCCTGGTTTGGGTTGATTCGGCTCAGATCTATGATCTCCAGAATGCCTTCCCTTGCTGTTGGCCTACCAGGGCCCCTTTGCCAGCGGTCGCCAGTGGAGCCATGTTGCCCATGCTGCCTTTGGGCTCTCAGCTGCTCTGCTGGGCTGCTCCTGCCTGGTGTGGGGTAAATCGGCCGAGATCTATCACCTCCAGAGTGCCTTCCCTCACCACTGGTCTGCCAGGGCCCTTTTGCCAGTGGTCACCAGTGGTGCATGCTGCCCATATTGCCCTCAGCCTCTACCACACCTGCAGTTGCTCTGCTGCTGCCGCCTCAACTTCCCCCAGCCCAGCCCATCCAGTGGGCCAGTGCTGCCACCACAAGATGAGGTAAGACAGGTGGCAGGGGGTGAAACTGCATCCCTCCACCTGCCAGACAGCAAAGGTGTGCATGCTGCCTGGCTTGTGGGATGCATGGGGCAGCTCCAATGGAAATTAAGCTAGTGGGGGCTGCTGGGTAGCAGCCTGGGCTTGGCTAAAGATGCCGAAGGAGTTGCGGGCAGTATGACTCCACTTGCTCTGCTTGCGAAGAGGCCCTGGCAGTGGCAGGGAAAAGCACTCTGGAAGTCATATGGTAAATCTGGGCCGATTTGCCCTATGCCAGAGAGGAGCAGCTCAGCAGGGTGCCCGAAAGCAGCACAGCCAGGAGGGCAAAGAGCCCCCATGAGACCAGCAGCAGCAGGTGCAGTAGGCCCAGGAAAAGGTGTGGGAGGAGGCAAGCCTGCATGGCCTTTTGTCCCATTGTGGCTGTAGGCAAGTGGAGAGACTGTGGGCCAGGTTGACACCCAATTTAATGGAGGCAGCGATTCCGACAGATAGCAGCACCATTAACAGGCAGAGGCTGTGTGGGGGGGTGGGGGGGGAGGTGATGCCAATGCACCACAGGGCCTTGTGCCTTGTCATAGCAGCAGCCTGAACAAAATCCGAGCTCCAGGCCTGGTGGCGTGCAAACTGTCACTCACCACTTCCTGTGCTGGCCACACTTACCCTCGTCCCCAGGCTGATGATGATCTTCACTAGGGCTTATTTTTTGGGTAGGGCTTATATTCAGTGCACACTTAAAAATTAAGCTAGGGTTTATTTTTGGGATAGGTCTTATTTTGGGGAAAACATGGTAGCTGCATCACAGGGCCAGTTTGTCTACCTCTCATCTATATGCAGACTCACCATCATTTTAAATAAAACCAATGACTGTTTTATTATCTGCAAACTTCAGTATTTTAACAGAGGGATCCTTTGGGATGCAGTCATTGGTATATAGAAAGAGTAATGGAGAGAACACATAGCCCTAGGGGGCTCCTATGCTAAGTGAGCAGGTATATGGTGTGAATATCCCTAGCTTCACCTGCTGCTTCCTATTCATTAAAAATCTTACAATCCATCTACAAGTGTAGGCACAGCTAGCTAAGGCAGTTTAGAGAGCTGGATTTCAGGAATGGTGGTGTTGAATGTCAAGCTGAAGTCTACAAAAAGGACCCTTACATAGTTCTTTGGGGATTCAAGATGTTGTAAGATGTAGTGCAGTGCCATATTGACAGCATCATCTGCCAATCTATTTGCACTGTAGGCAAATAGGGGTCTAGCAGCATATCTGTGATGGCTTTCAGGAAGGCCAACACTAACCTTTTGAAAGTTTTCATAATTATGGATATCAAAGCCACCGGTCTATAGTCATTCAACTCCTTGGGCACCAGAATGGTAGTAGAGCATTTGAAGCAAGAAGGGACAGAGCACATTTCCAGTTATTTATTAAAAATGTGGGTGAAGATGGGGTCCAATCAAGCAAGAGGGAATTACCCTGTCTGGTCCTGGTGCTTTTCCATCCTTTTGTCTGTGAAGTAGACCTTGCACATCTTTTTCCCTGATAACCAGAGATAGGGGATCCAGAGGGATGGAGTTGGATGTAGGAGCTGTTGTTGGTATATCTGAGATGGAGAAGGTAGTGATAGTTGACAGTGGTCTCCTCTCAAACTTACAGTAGAAACCATTCAGGTAATCTGCCAGTTACTGATTCTCTTCCACAAGGTTTGTTTTGGCCAGTGATATTTTAAGGCTTTTTCACACATTTGCTGGTTCATTTGTGGAGAGTTGATTACTCAGCTTTTCAGAGTAGCTTATTTTATCTGCCCTGATCTCCTTTGTTAATATATTCCTGGCCTGATTGTACAGTTTTCTATCCTCTTTCCTGTAGGTTTCCTCTTTGGCACAACATAGATGTTTGAGCTTAGCTGTGAACCAAGTTTTATTATTACTGTAGATGCATAAAGTTTTGGTTAACATACATAAGTTGTCACAAAAGCTAACATATGTTACAGTGTCAGTGAGTTCATCCAAGTTCACTGAGGCAGCTTCAAAAACATTCCAGTCTGTGCAGTCGAGGCAAGCCTGTAGCTTTAACTTTGCCTCTTCAGTCTAAGATTTCATTGTTTTACCTATTGGTTTTATGATTTTAAGCCTTTTTCTATAAACAGGTAGAAGGTGGATCATACAGTGATCAGAGTGTCCCACAGCAGTTCTTGGCAGAGAGCAATTGGCATCTTTTATTTTAGTAGTCTATAATATTCTTGCCTCTAGTGAGATAGTTGACATGCTGAATGTATCTTGGAAGCTCTTGGTTTAGGTTGGTACTATTAAAATCTAATACAATGAGTAGGGAGCCTGGAGATCTCTGTTCAGCTCACAGGATTTGGTCAATTAAAGTTTGCAATGCCTTGTTTATGCAAACTTGGGGTAATATGTAGACCCCAACTAGGATGAATGAAGAAAACTCTCGGGGGGAATTATAGGGTATGCAATTGATAAATAGTGTCTCTAAGTCCACATCACAAAATGTCTTTAGTGTAGTGACATTTTTACACCATCAGTTCTTAATATAGAAGCAGATACTTCTACCCTTCTTTTTATGGGATGTTTCTGCAATTGTATCTGCTCTATGAATCTGAAATCCTGGGATTTGCAAGCAGCTATCATTAACTGAATCATCCAGTTAGGTTTCAATGAAACAGAGGGCTGCTGAGTTGTAAAAGTCTGAGTTGTTCTTATTTAAAAGGAGCAGTTCTTCTATCTTATTTATGAGTGAGCGAAGATTAGTTAAATGAAATTCTAAGTTGCATTAATAGAGAGATTGAATCAAAGTCACGTGAAGTACTAGTACCACTCTATAAAGCCTTAGTAAGGCCACACCTAGAATACTGTATCCAGTTTTGGTCACCACACTATAAAAAAGATGTTGAGACTCTAGAAAGAGTGCAGAGAAGAGCAACAAAGATGATTAGGGGACTGCAGGCTAAAACATATAACGAATGGTTGCAAGAACTGGGCATGGCTAGTCTAGTGAAGAAGAAGGAGCGGGGTGACATGATAGCAGTGTTCCAAAATTTGAGGGGCTGTCACAGAGAGGAAGAGGACAACCTATTTTCCAAAGCACCTGAAGGCCAGACAAGGTATAATGGATGGAAACTGATCAAGGGGAGATTCAACCTAGAAATAAGGAGAAATTTTCTGACAGTGAGAACAGTCAATCAATGGAACAGTTTGCCTTCGGAAGTTGTGGGTGCTTCATCACTGGAGGCCTTCAAGAAGAGACTGGACAACCATTTGTCAAATACAGCAAGGGGAAGGGAGATTTTCTTACCCCATGATTCCCGAGTCTCTGAAAAATGCCTCCTTGCTTGCCCCTCCTTTTTCTCTTGTTTCTCTTCTGCCTTTTTCTAATTGCCATGTTGAGAGAGATAACTGATATTCCCTCAGTCAGAATTTCCTCCGCATTTGAAAAGAAGGGAGGAATAAACCCAGAAAACTGCTCATTATTAAAAGTCACTACCTGATTGTCAAAACCTCATTTCTTGAGTATGAAATTTGCGAGAGTCACAGAAAATAATAGAAAACATCAGTACTACTACTGATAGTTTTTGCTGATGTCAGAATTGAAATAAATATGCTTTATGGATTTGTTTATAGATAAAAATGGGATATAGGAAGAAGCAACTGTTGATTTTAAGAAAAGGTGATGTTACTAAAATTGTTTATACATGAAGATAGGAAATCACTTCTTTATATATTACTTTTCCTTTTATCATATTCTTAGTTTTCTTTCTTTTCTAATTGTATTTTTCTTTACTTCTTTCTTTTCTGTACATTCTATCTTTTAAAATTTGTATTAGTTTTTATTGTTTTTTTTATTTGAATTCTATAGCCACTCATCTCAACAAGTGACTCTAGGTGGCATACATCATAAAAACAAAAAAATGAAAACAATACAAAATAAATATATGAACATATTTATATTATAAATTATAATATTTAGTAAAATTATTTTTAAAAAAGGAAGTCATGAATGATCATCATCCTGGAGATGTTGCAGTTCTCCCACCTTTAGTTTATCAAAGAAACTATGTATTTAAACTTCTTTAAATCTTCTACGACAGCATAATAAACTACATCTCTGAAAGTAGAAAATAGTATACCATCATTGTTTCCATCTTTTAAAGTTGAATATTTACTAGTTATACTGCCTACATCTTCAGCGTAACCAGGAGCATTAACTCACCAAGGGTTTTCATCAATAATAGAAACTGTGCATTAAATTTTGAATGGTGACATTCGTAGATTGAAATGCAGCCAATCAAAATATGGTAAGGACATTATCTACTATTGTATAAATGAGATGAAACAATATTTGTGAATTCTACTGTCATTCCTTTCTCAACTTCTCTGTGCTTGAGATGAGAAAAGCCCCAAGAAGAAAGAACAAACTGAATGTAGAAATAAGCGTGGTCAGTGCTTGAACAGGGGGTTGGACTAGAAGACCTCCAAAATCCCTTCCAATTCTGATATTCTGTGTTCTTATAATGGACAGTCTTCAGTATGCATTGTATGATTCAAGTCCCAAACTACCCAACCCCAGATTTTTTTCTAGATAATATTGTAGATAATATTGGATTATAATGCACTGTATTTTAAGTTGTATGTTTAATTTTAGGTGCAGAATTATATAACTTTAGGTTTATATTCACTTCACTGATCATGTTTTTGTGAAAGATACTCACAATTGCTGTTTTTGAAGAATTAGAGTAAACCCCCATCTGTAATAGTGAGAAATACAGTATGATTATAGTTTAAACAAACTAATGAGCTGAAACTAAACACATCTGGGGCTATTCTATAGGCACTTAAATAAACAACCACATCCCCAAAACCTGTAATCCCTAAATTCTTGATAGAAAATTTTGTTGATAGTAATGCTTTTCTTTCTTTTTTGCGTGTGGAAAGGTTGGAGCGATAAAAGGTACCCTGAGCCATGCAGGCAATTAAGACATTTCACTCCTTAAAACTTCTCTCTGTCCCCAAATCAGGTTGATTTTTCCTGTTTTGGACATACTTTAAGGTGCTTGACCATCTTCTGTACCACATACAAGCACAAAGGCAAAGGATGATTCTAGGGAACAGAAAAAGTTGCCCCATCAAACACAAAGAACCTAAGAATGTATCTTCACAGAGAAATGCAAAAGCTTTCCAGATGTCTTGTCCCTTTGCTTTTTTTTTTTTTTTTTTGCTGTTGTTTCATTTCATGTATTAAATTATGAGAAATGTATATTAAGGCTTCTTGGCAGAACTGGAACTTACTATGTTCTATGCATAAAACTACAGATAGTCCTGTAGTTTGTTTAGTGACTGTTGAAAGTAACAATGGCACTGAAAAAAGTGACTGATGGCCATTTTTCACATTTCAAACCATTGCAGCAGCATCACGGTCACATAATCAAAATTCAGACACTTGACAATTGTCTTTATGACAATTGCAGTGTCTCAGGGTCATGTGATCTCCTTTTGCGACTTTCTGACAAGCCAAGTCAATGGAGAAGCCAGATTCACTTAACAATGTTATTAACTTAACAACTGCAACAATTCACTTAACAATTGTAGAAAGAAAGGTCATAAAATGGGACAAAATTTACTTAACAACTGTCTCACTTAACAACAGAAATTTTGGGCTCAATTGTGGTTATAAATTGAGGATCACCAGTATAAAGAATAGTAATCAGTGCTTGGACAGTTTTGACATTTGGATATCTACCAAGCTGTAAATATTGCATCTGATAGTCACTTGCCGTGAAGGTGGTTTCAGTTTTTTTCGGATCCCCAGGTAAACCTTGGCCGTATCCAGTAGCCACTCTCGCTGTGGCTTGACACTCTAGAGGTGTACAATAGAAAGACAACCCTCAATTCATAGATATAAAGAAAGGGTTACAGTGTAAATCAGGTAAATCATTGTCCATCTTTATTTCACTTCATCCAGGACATTTGACTAGACAATTACTATTCAAGCTTAATAAAGTGGAAATATTTTTTCTCTATATAAGCATACTTGAAATAGCTTTAGTCACTTGCATATGTAATCTATTATACCAATTCAACAAAAACTCAAGACTATTTCTGGGTTCTTGAGAAAGACAACATTCAATTTAGGGACTTAACTTTTCTATTTCCTTACTTTTATTTAAAATGCTCTTGTTCAATAACTTAAGATTACTTTTTGTCATAGGATTCATTTCCATAGGATGCCTCAACCAAGACCTGTGAATTAAATTTGTAGTGCCATATAAAAGAAGAGACCCCAGACTATCTTGCACTATCTTGCAGCATTGTAGCTAGGAGTTGCAACAGCCTGCCAATTAAGCCACACACAGGTGTGGGTCTGAGTGAAACTGGGCTCCCCATTCATGAGAAATCCCATGAATACCTATACAAATGTCTTTTTGCCCAATAGGGAGCAACTGCAATGACTTCAGATACATGTTCAGAAGATAGTCATCCGGATACAGTGGAAAGACATAGAGAAGCTCTTGGGACATTTCATTGTTAGGGCAGTCTCACCTGAGACTTTCTCTGTGGGGATCTAGGAGATATGTTGATCCAGGTTATGGTTGGCAACAATGTAAAGCTGCCTATTGGAGAGTGACAAATCTTGCTGTGATTTTATAAATTCACAGCAAACAGGTAGGGACAAAGCTGGATTGCAAATTTCATCAAAAAGGAGCCCATTGATTGGAGAAATTGCTGGATCTTCCTGTCTTTCTCTTTGGGCTCCTAGTAAACATTAAACGATGACAGTGTAACAAGCAAGAGAAAATAACTTCTGAGACTGAGATCTCACAGAACAAGGAATTCCCCCCACAAATGCAAGCAACTAGCAGGAAATGGGCTCATGGGGCGGGGGGGAGAGACACCCCTGATTTCTGCAAACCAATTTCTTGCAGCTCTCATTGTTTCCAGCAGTTCTTTGCTCAGTCATGCGTAAGCTTTTCTGATGCTATTCATGTATAACCAGATCTGTACTATGTGACCTTGGCTTGTTTCTGGCTTTTTCATTTATATTTCTTCATCTTGATCTTATTTAGCCTCTTTTCATGTATTGAAAAGTTTGACTGATATTTTATCTGGCTCTTTAAGAGATTCATTGCTACTGGGATCAAAGAAGAGAACTTGTCAAGGATGCCAGAATATTCACAAACTGGGATAGAGATGGCAAAAGGTCAGCCATGGGGGACTGGCTGGAATAGGACATGGTAACAAGGTCAGCCAATGTAACTAAGTTGCATAGAAACTAAGTCAGCCAATGAGGGCTGTTTGGGAGCTGAAACAGCTTGGAGCCTGGGCTTGGTTTAGGCTTAGTTAACTGCCCTGTATAGAGGAAGTTGTCTGTATTAAGCTCTGAGTCTGCTGCTGGAACTGAAAGCAATCTCTCCTCTTTACCACATTGGAAGAATCTGCTATTGGTATTGTACAATTATCTTCATGTGTTATATGTATATAAAGAAGTTAATGAATCCAGCTGAATCAGTTATCTGTTTGTGCTTTCTAAATTTGATTATTTCTGCAACAAACTCTGACGAAGGATTACTAATTTGATTCAGTAAAGACTCTAGATTGAGGATGTCCTATGTGATCATCAATGAAACAGAAAATCATACAATCACAGAATCATAGCATTAGAGCAGGTGATGTAGGCTATTGAGTCCAATCCCCTGCATGGTACAGGATTCCAGAATAAAGCCCTGAAAGATGGCTATGTAGCATCTAATTGAATCCATCTAGTAAAAGGTGTCATGACTACCTGTTTCGTTAATTGGTTCCACTACTAAATTTTGTATTGGCTGGAAGCTTTTTATGACATTCAACCAGAATTTACTTTTCTGTAACTTAAATCCATTATTCCATGTCCTATATTATGACTGAAAAGAAAATAGATCTTGATATTTTATATGTTATTCTTTCAAGTATTCAAAAAGTGTTATCATATTTCCCCCTTCAGTCATCTTTTCTGGAAGTTAACCATTACCAGCTTCTTTCATTGACTCTCAAAGGATTTGGTTTCCAGTCTCTTGAAAATCCTCAGTATACTTCTCTGAACCTGTTTCAATTGCTCTACACATAGCTCTGGTGAAGACTAAGCAGAGCTGGAAGGTGGGGAAAATTTGTGACATGACTGGAGGGCAACTATGAAAACCCTGACCTGGGAGAGGAACAAGAGGTTCTACCAACCTGGAGAAGGAACCAGAGAACCACAGCTGAGCCTGTCACCTGCCCTAAGACAGCCACACGAAGGCCAGAACCCTGCTCTGATTCCCCAAGAGACAGAGGTAGTGTCCAATGCCAAGGGATTGGCCCCAATAGTCTCTTGGCATCAGAAAATCAAGGAAGCACTGACAGGAGTGATCCAGAGGATCCAGAGCCAAGCCATGCCACCCAGAGGGGGGCTCCTGACATGACCATTGACCAGAGAGTCAAACTCATTAAAGAAATGCTTGGGGAGCTCTTGACTCAGTCTCCCATGGAGCAGCCCATTTCTGTACCTGGACTGGTAGCAGCAGCCCAACCTGCCAACCCAGCATCCCTGATTCCTGTGGGGCCAGTGAGGCAAAACAATTGCCAAATCCCAGAGTTGAAAGTAATATTCAGAGGAAAGGCAGAACATCTGAGGTACTTCCTCATCCAGGTTTGGAACTTCATGGCACACCATGGACTGAGCTTCCTGGATGATGAAGCCAAGGTAAATTGTATCACTGTGGTTCTGGAGGGGGAGGTGGCTAACTGGGTGGTTTCACTCCATGATGCTGGCACCAAAGAGCTCTATTTTATTTTATTTTTATTTAATTTGATTTATATGCCGCCCTTCTCCGGAGACTCAGGGCGGCTTACAGTGCGTTAAGCAATAAGCAATTGACTACTTCATGTTCACCCTGAGGTGATGGTCCGAGGACCCTCTGGCAGATCAGAAAGTAAAGAGAAGGATCAAGACCATCTGGCAGGGCAGATGATCAATCACGGCCTACATCCAAGAATTCCAAGGGTTTGTCTAGCTGGCTCCCAGACTGGCCACAAGACATGGAATGGAATACTTTCAACAAGGCCTCAACCTGGAGGACCTAATCACCTGCCTGTCCCAGGGGTCACCCAGAACCCTGTATAGTGGTACATCCTGGCTGGTGGGGGGGGGAATGACTTCGTCATTATCCACGAGACCATAGAGTGAGGTCTGTGGGGGCAGAGTGCTGGAGAAGAGGGTTTCCCTAAAGATAAGTAAGGGGGAGTCCAATCCCAAGCAGCACCTGGGTCTGCTTCCGTTGCAGCAGAGAGGGTAATCAGGCAGCTGATTGCTCAAGCCCTCATCCGGGGCCTATGACTAAGCACTCCTCACTAAAATGAGGGAAAGCTATGGCCAAACCCAAAACTACTGCCAGAGAAGGGGACAAAGTCAAAGAGTTTTTACTCTTCAGTGAGGAGGAAGATAACCTGGTGAAGAGCCAGAAAGGATGGCAGCAGTGACGATAATCCACTGGTGACTGGTGACTCAAAATTAATGGTAGTGAGAGTGCAACTAAAAGTAGCCTCTTCGGGGTGGAAAGTGTAACTTTAATAGTATCTGGATGTACCCGATATTTTATAAGTCCAGCTGTAGCAGAGGGCTTGGAATGCAATTCTGCAAAATAAAAGTACTGGTGGCATTCCAACAGTTGGACAGCTCCTTAGCGGCTCCTCTAGATTTGTAATAGAACTCTGATGAAGGACATGTTGGCCCACCTAACCAAAGGCAAAATCTTTACTAAGCTGGACTTGAGAGAGGCGTATTACCGGGTTGTGGATTAAAGCTGGAGCTGCCCATTGAGTTGTTTCCAGTTCCGGGTTCTTCATTTCAGCCTGCAGGGGCACCCACCATGTACATACAACTAATTAATGAAGTCCTGTATGAACACTTATTCAAGGGTGTCTTGGTCTATTTGGTGACATCTTAATTTATACCAAAACCTGGAGGAGCATATGAAGCTGGTAGAGACTGTCCTGCAAAAGCTATTGGTGGCACAGTTGTATGTGAAACATTCCAAATTTCACCAACCCAAATTGGACTATTTAGGCTACTGGGACTCCCATGAAGGAGTGGAGATAGAGCCAGAAAAGGTGCAAGCACACCTGAAAGCAGTTTCCTGGCCTTCGTGAACTTTTATAGACAATTCATTCCCACTTTACTCAGATTGCTCTGCCATTAACCAACTTGTTAAAAATTAAAGCGGAAGGAAGGCCTAAACCTGGAACCCCTCTCAAATGGTCCATGGAATGCCAGAAGGCTTTTGAAAAACTCAAGTGATTATTCTCAGCTGACCCAATTCTGAAACACCCAACCCCAATAAGCCTTTTGTCATATAGGCAGATGCAAGTGATGTAGGAATTGGAGTCCAGCAATCTGGCAATTCTCCAGAAGGACCCCAAGGGGCCTTGCAACCATGTGCTTACATCTCCCAAAAACTATCTGAGGCAAAATGTAGATTGATAGTTTGGGAAAAAGAGGCTTATGCGGTGAGATGGATGTTACTCACATGGGACACTTCCTGGAAGGGAACAAGGAACCTTTCAAGGTCTGGACTAAAGGCCTAGAAGTGCTGAACCTCCACCCCCGAAAGTTGTCCCCTAAAGTGAGGTGGGAGCAATATTTCAATTGATTTAACTTTATGTTAAAGTATTTGCCTGGGGAAGAAACTTTCTAGCAGATGCCTTGTCCAGAATGCCTCAGTGTAATATTACCAAGAAGAAGGTGGTGGACGTCATCATCCCTGCCAATCAAATAGCATCACTGGTCACCACCAGAGCTCAGCACAAAGCACTGCCAGATTTGTCTAAGGACATGATCTGGGAATAAAAATAGTCCTGCTCCAAGATGAATGGTTCTTAAAAAAACAAGGAAAACATGTGCCTGCATGATGGACTTGCATGGGTGGGCAGCAAACTGTATGTGCCAGCCAGCCAAAGGCTCTTAGTTTTGCAGAGGAGCCATGACTGTAAAATCACAGGACATTTTGTTTTCATTAAAACCCTATACCTGATCCAGCATCAATTTTGGTGGTGGGGCATGAAAAAGGATGTAGAAGCTACATGGCTAGTTGCCCTATATGTGCAGTAGCAAAAGGGATGGTGGGCAAGCCATGGGGGCTATTACAACAGGTGGCTAACCCATCAGCATCCTGGAAAGAAATCTCCATGGATTTCATTGTTGAGCTACCTGAAAGCTCTGGGAACACAGTGATTTGGATTACCACTGACCTTTTTTCAAAACAAGTATATTTCATGGTGTGCCCAAAGATCCTCTCTGCACAAACCCTGGTGTAGGGTCTCCTGTTTGACAGGGGTGGGAGTGGGGGGTGGACTAGAAAACCTCCAAGATCCCTTCCAACTTTATTATTTTGTACTATTGTGTTAATTTGTCAGATTACTATACCTGTTTCTCTTTGAGTAGAAGCAACTTTTGATCCTTGATGACAAAGTAGCGTTCCTGAAATTTGTTTCCCAGAAGCTTGGCCAATTCCTCACGGCATTTCAAAAGACCATATTTTGGGCTCTCACGTTTAGTATCTACAGCAAAATAGAGACATTGGGAATAAGTTTTACAAAGAGAACTTATATTTCAAATACATATACCAGGCAAATTAGTTATAGAATCATTATTTAGTAGTTATGTGACAGATGTGTGATATCTTTTTAATTTCACAATTCTTTGCTGAATCTGAATATCTTTTTCTAAAGAAAGATGGCAATGGGAATAAACACATCCTGTGGTGCTCCTGAAGATGGAGCTGGATTCTGCTGTTAAGTGATTATGCCCTGGTGAAACACTGAAGGGTCACCCAACACCCGAGTGATGACATAGGAGCTCTGCCACACCGAGTGATTTTAAACACAATATACAAAGAAATATAAAACAAATCCTAAGAAAGAAATCCTGCAGCCTCCAATCTTGGTGCCTCTCCTCCATTTCAGGAGCAATGTAAAGCAAAATGTTTTGAAATGGAAGCTTATGAAAGAGAGATCCAATCTAGAATTAAGGAGATTTCCTGTCAAAACAATTAATCAATGGAACAGCTTGCCTCTTTGAGTTGTGGGTGCTCCATTGCTGGAGATTTTCAAAAAAAGATGGGACAATCATTTGTCTGGAATGGAATAGCTTCTCCTGCTTGAGCAGGGGGTTGGACTGGAAGACTTCAAAGGTCCCTTCCACTCTGTTATTCTGTTATTGTGTTAATTCTTGAGTAAATACAATCATCAACATCAAAAGGATTTCACATTGCTGTTTTAGTGGGAGATGATAGATACTGGAAAACATGCATTGTACTATTTATTCCTCCTCCATAAAATACTTTTGGACATACTCTTTTATATTATCAGGCCAGCTAGGCCAATACTAGGCAAGACAGGAATGCTATAGAAAATGTTCTGATGGTTTTAAAAACAGTAACAAGTATACTTATCTCTTAAATAATAGGCTCACACACCTGTGAAAAGACAGCTTCCTTCCTCGATGGACAACTTTTTCACAAGTAAATATGCAGAGCTGGGTTTTGGTAACTTGCACCATTGCAGGGCCTGCTCTAGAACTTTCTCCTTGGGATGCAAAGGATGCTCTGAAAAATGATGTTCAGAAAAAGAGTCCAAAGTTTAGTATATGCGGGTATCAGGAGGCATCCAGGAAAATAAACATCAGAAGTATGTTAAGGATGTGGTATACTATATCTTTATGCCAGGGAAAACAGAATATCTGATGGAAAAATTGACCCAGACCCTTGAAGTTGAAAGGGACTGGATGAAGAAGAACAAACTCAGATTTAATCCCAAAACAGAATTAGTGTGTCTGCAGAAGAACTCTCAGATGTCAAGAAAATACTGTATTCTCTTTTGCTCTGGATGGGATGGCACACGCCCTGCAGAAGATGCAATATCTGGACTTCAGGTTGACGTCGAGGCGGGATCGGACACGCGGCAGGATCGGACACGTGAAGTGGTCTCCATGCTCCCGTGCTGAGTTCGTCCTGTTTATGGGCTCCAGAGGGAGCCAAAGATGCCCTGTAGGGGCAGTGAACCAAAGACAGGCACCCTGCGAGGTCAAGGAGAGTCTCAGCTCTCTTGTCTGGCCCGGGGTTCTTTTTCCCTCTCAGCCATGGCAAGAAGAAGAGGCAGCTAAAGATGAATGCTACAAAGCTGGGACAACCGAAGAACCACTAAGCCTGGTGCTGGAGAGAAGTAGATGAACGGTGTTGGAACTGGGGGAGAGGATTTTTCTTTTGCTCTAAATTTAACCCCAATAAACAATCTAGAGCTACTTGCTCAGAACTATGTGTTAAAGCAGCATCTAAGCATTTTGGGGCATTCAGAGGAAATACCTCTGAAGGTGGTACCAGAAATGAAGGTGCAGGAAAGTAAAATAATAGATTTTGAAATAAATAGAAAATTGGATTCCTAAATTTGGAAGATGTGGTACTGGGAAGGTATTTTAAATGCTGGAATTATTTAATTACAAAACTTATTCTACTTTTACAGCTGTTTTATAACCAAAATGACAATGGACGATGGACTAGTAAATTGAAATTTAAGTGGAGAGTGCCACCTGCTGCCGAAAGGAAAAATTACAAATCTGGGAATACCTATATCAGTGGTTCTCAACCTTCCTAATGCCGCGACCCTTTAATACAGTTCCTCATGTTGTGGTGACCCCCAACCAGGGGTGGGTTCTAATTTTTTTTACTACCGGTTCTGTGGGCGTGGCTTATTTTGTGGGTGTGGCTTGGAGGTCATGTGACTGGGTGGGCGTGGCTAGCTGGTAATGTGACCGGATGGCCATGGCTATGTGTATAGGGACTACTCAGAGGGCTGAAAAAAGTCATTTCTGACAGGTCCTCGCACTTTTGACCGGTCCTCACACTTATGACCCTCCTCACATTTATGCCTGTGCAGCATTCTTAACAACCATGTCACTCATTTCCCAACTGCTTCTCTTCAACATGGTATAAGATAGGGCAAAAAACGTAAAATGTGAGGACAGTCGTAAATTCGAGGACTGGTCAAAAGTGCGAGGACCAGTCAAAAATAACTTTTTCAGCCCTCTGAGTGGTCCCTGTGCACAAAAGGACTACCCAGAGGGCTGAAAAATGTGATTTCTGACAGGTCCTCGCACTTTTGACTGGTCTTCGCAGTTATGACTGGTCATCATTTATGCCCATTGTACCATTTTTAACAACCGTGTCACTCATTTCACAACTGCTTCTCTTCATCATGGTGACAAGATAGGGCAAAAACATAAATTGTGAGGACAGTCGTAAGTTCGAGGACTGGTCAAAAGTGCGAGGACCAGTCAAAAATAACTTTTTCAGCCCTCTGAGTAGTCCATATGCATAAAAGGATACAGCAATAGAGAGGGATGAAGGAAGGGAAGGGAAATTAGAGGAGGAGTGAAGGTAAGAGAGGGAGGAAGAGAGGAGGAGAAGGAGAAAGAGGAAGTAGGAGAAGAAGAAGTGGGGGAAGAGAAAGTAAGTAAGAAAGAAAAGAGAGAGGTGGTAGGTTTGAGGAGAAAGATTGCTGTACAATAAAAAAGATGAAAGGGAAGAAAGCCAACCCCAAACAAATATTAAGATATTAAGATAAAGAATGAATTGTTAAACGTTAAAGAATAAAAGAGAACAAATAGGAATAAATAGCAATAATTAGAAACACACATACAAACATACAACGTATTTTCTTTGAACAGAGTATTTGGCCGGTTCACAAATTTAAACAGTTGGAGGAGGTTAGCACCCACCCCTTTCCTAGAAGAATGAAATATTTTGGGAAATATTAAAAAGACAGAATATTATATTTCCCTGGATGAGAAATGGAGGAGCATATTTTACAGACAAAGCAGCTCCCACCTTCCTGCCCCCCACCCTTTATTAATGGGCCAGAGGCAGAAAGTCAATCCTTTGTCAAAGGACATTTGCAACACAATAGCAACAGAAACTAACACAATGGGCCCCATCAAGCCATGTGATCCTGTCCACCATTAAACCATCTTTCCAAGCAATCTCCATGTTTCCAGTGTCTTTTTCCCCACTTGGAGCAGAACCCAGAAGGATATTTCTTCCAACACAGTATTTAGTCATTTCAATTAAATTTACAATTTCTATATTTCCTTTTTACCATATTTATTCCTCATCTATTTTTTAAAAAAACCAATATTACCCTTCATCCTTATCTCTAATCTTAATCAAATTCAATTTTTCCCTTCTATTCTATATTATACCCCTTTGCATTGTCATCTATTTTTATATCCATTCTCACATTGGTTAATTATGTAATACAGTTGTTTAATACAAATTCAACATTTTAATATAAATCAATTAGTTATATAACTATCTTTTTTGTATATTAATTAATATGAACATGAATATTCCAATTATTTCCATGCAATCCAATTTCTTACAAATCAATTAATTATATTTACCAATAATAATAAACCAAATAATTTCCCCCATATATTCCTCCAAACCACAACCATTTCTGCTTTCAACACAATATACAATTAATAGTATCTCAATTATTACAATTCCCTAGTTAAATAAAGCTTTTTTTCTTTTGTGTTTTAAAATCTTGAACCTCCTCTTGCCCTAAATTTCCCATTGTTTGCAGTTTTGCACTTACCTTTTTTGGTGAGGAAAAAGAAAAAGAAATCTCTCTGCCTCATTTTGTCACATTGCAACAGAGACCCTTCTTTAGTTTCAATTTCGCTTTTCAGCATAGCTAGGGGGAAAAAAATTTGCTCCAGGAATTTACCTCTTTGCAGCTAGCTCTTTGAAGCCCCGCGGCAAGAATTTAAAGTTTTTTTCCCCTCTAGCCACCAGCTGGGACTCCGGAGGCAGCAATAGATTGGGAGTGGGCGGGGTAAGCGAATGGCGACCGGGCGATCCAACAGAGGCAGAGGGTGAGTGAAGGCATGGGGGGGGTGAGAGAGGGCTTTGGCGACCCCTGTGAAATGGCCATTCGACCCCCAAAGGGGTTGCGACCCCCAGGTTGAGAACCGCTGACCTATATGAAGAACAGTGAAAATGCCCATTGGATTACTTCTAGCCACCCTATGACTACTGAGAGCCAAATATGAAAATGAGGAAGCTATTCAATTAAAGAGACACTTGAATGTTATACTAGAAGACTGAATCTGTAAAGGGGCTTTTGATAACCTCTGGGATTACTTAAATGGAACTGATTGTTAACCTATGGGACATAAAGAACTGGGACTAGTGTATTCCTTGAAGGGAAACTTAAAGACTGAATAAATAGTTCTTGGACTGCTAGATAAAAAATGATTTTTTAAAAATAAAACAGGATACTTAAGAAGGAAGAAATGAGTGGAATTGTGAAGGAGATGGACTTACTTTTTCTTTTTTTATTGAAAAGTTTTATAAGAAATACAAACAATTTTCTCCCCCCACCCTTTCCCCCTCCCCACATAATAAAAAATATGCATTTTCTTATACATAATAAATCCTACATATACATATTTCCCTTAAAGAAAGCATTAAAATAAAACAGTAATTAGGAAATGTCAATTAAAAATGACAAATGTATATGACCATATGAATTGCTGAGTTAACAGAATCCTTTGTCTAGAAGGGTATAAAACCATTGTACCTAATTTCTGTCTTTGTTCAACGCTTCATGTACAGAGCTTTGAACCTATTGCGCAATATACAAATTGTCTCTGATTAATCCAAAAGTTGTGTTTTTCTTATTAAATCCACAACATTTATGGCACCCTGCAGATGGGACTAAGGAGGAACTTTTGTTCTACCAGACAGCCTGCCTCAGCGGGAATCGACGCCTCCCCAAGGAAAATCCACTGGCTGGCCATTAGGACTCCTTTGAAGTCCACGGAGATTCAGTGAGGAGGTGCCGTAAACCCGCTGACGAAAACAGGCCAGTCAAGAATCCTTGAAGGTTAATCAGACACAGAGACTCAACATAAATACATAAGAAAGAAAGAAAGAAAGAAAGAAAAGAAAGAAAGAAAGAAAGAAAGAAAGAAAGAGGAAAAGAAAACAGGTAAGTATAAATCAGAGAGTTAAAGTCTCTCTGTTTAGAGGTGCCTACTCTTTAAGGGGTAGAAGAGTGGGGCTTGATCAACCCCCTGGGGGACCAGGTGGCATCCTGAAGTCTCTGGAATTAAGTATTTAGGTATTGGAATTAAGGAACTAAGTATTGTGTGTAATCTTATGTGTGGTAAGAGAAAAACTAATTGCAGTGTTATAAAATTTCTGATAAACTGACATTCTTAAACAGCCAGAGAACTCTGAAAGAACTAAGAATAAAGAAGACATTGTTTACTGTTCTTCTCACCCAGGGTTTAGCAGGCAGTAAAAAGGTAAAGCCTGTCTAAATGGGAAAACAGATATGACTTGATCAATTTGGTGTGATTTCTGTTAAATATATATATGTATATATATATAATGATAGTGTGTAAAATTGAATGGAATTGAATTGATTGTGATATGTGTGGCTGCCAGCAAAGTGAGTAGATTTGTGCTTGAGGCTGTGGGAGATGTTTGAGATGATTGTAATGGTGGGATTTTTTTGTATGTGAAATTGGTTTAAACAAGAA